GCAGCTTAGTAACCATGTCCATCTCACCTTGGGAATTCCTGGCTCTCTGCTGTCTGCAAGAGATTCTGCCCTCCTGCTGGGGAAAACCTATTGCATTCCTACTGCAGAAGAGCTCAGGCACCTAAAGCTAACCTGATAGCTCCTATCAATAGGTCTCAGACAGCAGGGAGCCAGGGACGTTGTGAGTGTATCTTAGCTTAGGGGATCTGTGTGTTTGGAGAGATAGTAACCTGCAGAGAGTTGATCTAAGGGGTAGTGAGGTTTTGGAGATTGGATCTGGGCAAGGTGTATTTGCAGTATTTGTAATCTAAACCCATGGTCCTCAACCAAAAGTGGGTTGCCGTCTACCTTTCACTGTGCTAGGTGAGAGGCTCCTCAGCCTTCCCGTAGCGCAGCACTGCCAGTTCTTGTGCCAATCAAAATATCCTGCCCTGTGCTGAGTGACAGCTTGAGGTGGGGTGCGCTGGGGGTATGGCCAAGAGGGAGCTCCATATGTGCATTCCTTACAGCTCCCTCACATGTCCTATAGATGTGCCTGGACTAGAGTGACGTCACATTCTGGCTCCCGGCATCTCTACAGGGTCTGCAAGGGAGCTGTGCAAGGAAAGCATATATAGATGGAGCACTGTCACAGCACAGCAGCCCACACTGGACCCCACGCTGAGGATCCACTCCAGTTCTCATAAGGTAGGGAGACGGAGTGGATCTTAAAAAGAAAAATGACCAAGACTTAATGACCAAGAACAAATGTGGGTCAGAACCCACATTTGTTCTTGGTCGCTAAGTCGTGATCCAAGTTGCACTGCGCTGGAATGCATGGCATTGCGGTACTGCGTGTTGTGGTTACACACGTTGAGAACCAGTGATCTAAACTATAACTGGTTGCCATTAGGCCCCATTCACATTGAGCGATTCGCAAATCGCGCGTTGTTGCGCGATTTGCATTTTGCGCGATATCGCGCAAATGGTTGCATTGAGCAACCTAGAATCGCGGCAAAATCCGCTCCAAAAAGGGTCCTGCTGTAGCGACGCACGACCCGCTCAGTGTGAACGAGGCCTTAGTTAAATGCAGCTATCTTCATAACCTGTACACAAATCTTTTTGAGCAATGCTACATGGTGTTACAAATTTTTTCGTACCATTTCAGTTGTCTTGACATTAAAAGCTTCTCTTATAAAGCACTTAATGGCATTGTGATGCTCCAGTATCCAAAATCAACACATGGTGGCTTAAAATGAAATGTACCTGGGGAGGTAATTGTATCACATGGTTGCCATTTAACACCACTATGCTCTATCCTAAAGAAAGGGAACATGCTTGGGGGATGTACCAACAGCAAAAACTGCTTCTTAAGTTTCAGCAGATATATAATACCGGTACTAGCTACACAGACACAGGTCTGAGGTCTTTTAGACTTTAATTGTACAAATGCTAAAGATTGGTTGTACTGAGAGAGTATAAATATGCAGTACCTTGAAAGCCTTGGCAAATGGGCTTATTTTTAGTTTTTATTCAAAAGCCCAAGTAAACATTGACCACCAATGTCAAGAGGTTTTTTAACTAGAGAGGATGTAAAAAAGTCCAGCTACACACTGACCACCAAAGAGGTATTAAAGACTAACTACACACTTACCACTTAGGGAGCATCAGGTATCCACCACTCACCATAAATGTAAATGGAGCTTTTTATTAGGGGGAAGCATGAAAGGCATCTACCACTGACCAACAATCCAATGGGACTTTAGTTATTAACAGGGCCAGATTAAGAGCATCACAGGCCTGGTGCTGAGGATTTTGAGGGGCCTTTTTATGGAAATGTTGACGGTCACCAGGGCCCTCTTGCTGTGATTTGTAGTCTCCAGGTGGTCAGTGCGGGCGCTGGGTAATAAGTGCTGTGGCCGCTGCAGGCTCCGGGTGGTCAGTGCAGGCTTTGGGCAGTCAGTGCGGGCTCCAGCCAGTAACTGCGGGCTCCGGGCGGTCAGTGCGGGCCCTGGGCGGACAGTAAGGGCCCTGGGCGGTCAGTGCGTGCTCCGGTTGGTCAGTGTGGGCTTTGGGTGGCCAGTGCGGCCTCTGGGTGGTCAGTGCGGACTCTGGGTGGTCAGTGTGGGCTTTGGGTGGCCAGTGCGGGCTTTGGGCGGTCATTGCGGGCTCTGGGTGGTCAGTGCAGGCTCTGAGTGGTTAGTGCGGGCTTTGGCTGGTCAGTCCAGGTTCTGTGCGGTCAGTGCGGGTTTGGCTGGTCTCAGTGCAGGCTTTGGGTGCCATCCATGGCAGGATGGATGGCATTTTATGCACATTCACAATTAATATCGTAAGCAATTACATAATAATGCAGGCTTTGAGGGGTCAGTGCAGGCTTTGGGCGGCCCTCTAGACTTGCCAGTAATCGTTTTGGGAGATTTGGCTCTAGTGCGCTTCCGCCACCCACGGCATTAATACTACATTATTACAGGTATTTATTACAGGTATTTATATAGCGCTGACAATTTACGCAGCACTTTACATAGTTGCACATTCACATCATTCCCTACCCTCAAGGAGCTTACAATCTAAGGTCCCTATCTCACATGCATACATAGAGGGCCAACTTAGAGAAGAGCCTGTTAACCTACCAGCATGTCTTTGGAGTGTGGGAGGAAACCGGAGTACCCGAAGGAAACCCACGCAAGCACAGGGAGAACATGCAAACTCCTTGATTGATTTCTTCTCTGGACAGACCTGTGGATAATTTGAGGTATGTGGCAGACAGTGAGGCATAGGAGGGGGATGGATCTCACAATGAAATACAGGCTGGAGTCAATACACAGACTGGTAGCACTCATTTCTTGGAGGGTTTCATTCCTCTCCCTGGTCCTTTGCCCTTTTTGGCAGGACTGTCTTCCTCTTCAGAACTTTCCTCTACTTTTTTCATTTTCTTCCTTGGCAGTCCTGCCTCTTTTGGAAGCTGCTGGCCTTTTTACAGCTTTTGGAGGAAAATCTGGATCTTCCTTTTCTACCTTCTCCTCACCTTCTTCCTCTGCCAAGGAGTAGTGTGCTTCCAGTGCATCATGCTGACCACTAATAAACACCGGCCCAGAATGTTGATCTAGGGCAGTGGTCTCAAAGTACCTGCCCGCGGACCAGTTGCTGCCTGCGAGCCAGTACTATGTGGCCCGCAGCTAGCTTACAAGTCTGGTACGCGGTCAAGGACCGCGTACCGGACTTGCGGGAGCAGCTACACGGTCTGCATCTCTGTCAGATGCAGACTGCATAGCTATATTAAAATACCGCATATGCTATATTAAAGTAATGAATTCAATTCCTTGGAAATAATTTACAAATAAAACACGTATTAAGCTCTTTTTAATAAATATTAAGTACAAAAATGTAATATCAAATAGGACAGAAAGGAGTGCCAATTTATATGTATAAATACAATTTCGTTACATAGTTTTACTAACAGCTATTACTTTACAGACATACAGCCAAACAATGCAATAAATGCCCCTTATTTTTGTATGTACAATAAAATGCCATCGTAGGATATATTCTAGGTACTGATACTTGATATCCCAGCCTGAAATGCAATTGAATTAAACTGGGTCTGTCACAAATACTCTGGATTTATATTTTTTTCTGTCAGCCAGACTATACGGTAAACATATTTTAAAAAATGCCAATGCCTAATCATCTGATTTTGTTAATAAACTTAAATTGTGTTTTAAATAGAGGATCAATAAACCTGGAATTACATAGTATTTGGGGTGTAATAAAGACATACGTCCATCAAGTCCAACCAATATAGGTCCACGCATCATCTCATTCTTAGGGATACTGGTATCCCTGGATATTACGGTCCCTCAAGAAATTGTCCAAACGTTTCTTGAACAAATCTACACTCTTAGCTGAAATCACTGCCGATGGCAGTGAGTTCCAGACCTTAACCGCTCTTACTGTAAAGAACCCTCTTCGCCCATTGTGCTGGAATTTTTTCTCCACCAACTTTAGGTGGTGGCCTCTAGTCTTTGTAATGGAGTTAATCTCAAACAGTTTGTTGCCAATGTTGCTGTCACCATTGAACATCTTGTACGTGAAAATCAGATCCCCCCTTAATCTCCTTAATTCCAGCATAAACATATTTAAGAATTATAATATATAATTATATGTGTTTTTTACATCGTATATGAAAAAAAGGTAAATGCATGTATGTGTATGAGCCAATTCCCTAGGGTCAATTGATGCCACTAACAATGACTACAAAATAGTTTGGGCTAGAGATCTGCAATTAGTTGGAATGGGTTTCTTATGAACCCATCAGGTTAGTGACTAGGGTTAAGCTGGCCATACACCTATTGATTTTCTGCAGATTTTCTATGGTCAGATGGAAAAGGTGCAACAGATTTCTCCATCTTCACTTAACAGTGTGGATGGAGGAATCTCCCACTGGGCCAAGCTTTAGTATCTTGCTAGTCAGCCACACAGGCTCTCAAAATATCTGAACAATGCCTACATCTTATCAGATTGTTCAGGTATTTTGACAGCCAGCTGGGCCATCTAGCAAGATCCTGAAGCTTGGCCCAGCGGGAGATTCCTCCATCCACACAGTTTAGCGTAGATGGAGGAATCTGTTGCACTTTTTGCATCTGACCATAGAAAATCTGCAGAAAATCTATAGGTGTAGGGCCAGCTTATAACTGTCCACAGGCATACCCTGTAGTCACTTGCCTTTTTATTTAGAGCACATACAATATTATTTTTCCATTCTTTTATTTCCATTACCTACAATTACTTTTTTGGTTTCCATTGTTTTGGCTGCTTATATACATTATAGGTGCTTTAGACGTAATATAAAAATATTTTTTCCTTAAATGGACAAACCAAAATCTTTCAGGTTGGTCAGCCTTAAGCACAGTGAAGTAATTTTTTTAGCCCAGATATTGGCAAGCATGTGCAAAAATTCAGCATATTTGTCTTATAATCTGTATCGAGATGCAGCTTTATTATTCAGAAAATATTGACATGGAAGGTGGTGTTTTACTTTGTATTCAACGAGCCACTGCTTTTGGAAATATGGCAATACAAAGTCAGTGCGAAAGACATTCCTAATACCTGGAAAACAAAACATATCATGATCAAATGGTTAACACTTTTTTAATTAATGAACATTTATGACATTATAGATCACTTAAAGTGACATTAAACCCTCAGATTTTTTAACATAAACCAATACTGTAATGTGTGCCTTACTGTAATCCATGGTTGTTTCCCTTCTCTTTGCTGCTCTTCCTTTTAAATCTGTATCTGTTCTCATGCTTGGGGAGAACTTCCCTTTGCAGCTGAGTGCCTCTTCCTGTAGTGCTGGCTCAGGTTACAAGCCTATACACAGACACCATGTAGCCATTCCCGAGACAAGGCAGTCTGCTGCAAAGGGAAGTTCTCCCCAAGCATGAGAAGAGATACAGATTTAAAAGAAAGAGCAGCAAAGAGAAGGAAAACAACCATGGATTACAGTAAGGCACACATTAAAGTATTGTTTAGGGTTTAATGTCACTTTAATCAGTCACATTCACTTCTACATGTTACTGAATATTTTAATCTTTTTATTTAGAGAATAACAGAATATTCACCAAAAAACTATGTTTATATGTTAAAATATTAAAGGGGAACTCATAACCTTTGGCATATATAGACTTCTTTTAATGTGCAATAAGCAGTATCTGGAAATCGAATTAGTATAAAAAAAGAGGGTTTTTAGATAAAAAAAATACTCAATAACTTGTACGTGCGTATTGTACCATATGCAACATATGCAAATAAATGGCTCCATACACATAGCCGCGTATGGAGCCGTATATTTGCGTAGCGTATATATGCGCAAAAACAGAATGGAACAGAGATGCGTCCGGGCAGCGTATTTATGTGTATTTACGCGCATATACACGTGTTTATGCGCTGTACGCACGTACATCACATTAAAAATTCCATTACGAGTGATGCATTCTTGGATTGCATATAGTGCATGCATAGACGCGTATATACGCAATATACAATTTTGCTTGCGTTGTGTGTGAATGAGGCATTAGAGACAAAAAGACTGAATAAAGGATTTGAGAATGTTCACACAATAAAATGTGTGAAGATTCACTTACATTATCCAGTCATGTGAAAAGGAAATCCTTGTTTACATAATTCATATGTACATGATTGGATCATTGCAGTGAATATTCACACAATTTATTTTGTGAACATTCTCAAATCCTTTAGCAAATCAGCTCCGGACAATAGTGTTTGCATGCTGATAAAGCACAGGGAGCTTCTGTATAAAGAAAACCTGTCATGAAAGAAACCAGAAGGTTGGAATTTCTGACCTTTCCTTCTAAAAATATGCAATATCTGGCCTACTAACACCCTTGTTTACATTCTTTGAGTCAGTGTCCTGCAACAAGTATGCAGATAAAGAGTTTTAAATTCACTATAACTCCACTGGCTACACAATTGTTCCAGGGTGGTGGCTCAAATGGGCTTAAGGTCATGGCATCACCACAATAGCCAGGCAACTAAGCATTTTTAGAAAACAAGTCAGCAATGGCACCCCCTATATTCCTCTCACTAACTTTAAACATGTTCAGATTCTCAGGAATACTGTGTGTTCAGTAAACTGTTTCTCTTGAATGTCTTACCTCAATAACAGAAGTACAGATGGTCACTACCCCAACATAAAGGAAATTATGTTCAAACCAAGATGTCAAAGCGTCACTACACCCCTAAAAATAAATGTAAAAACAGTTTGAGACACATTTTCCTCAATATACAAATTACTCTAAAACCCTATAGAATATAGAGACATGAGATGTCAAAGTGGCAGAAAAGGAACAAAGGGCCCAGGTGCAAAATTATTTTTGGGCCCCCCTTCCCCCCAAAAAAAAACCCCTGTAACCCCCCTAACCCATATCCCCTGTAGCAACCACACAAAAAAAAGTTGGAAAAATGGCATTGCTGTATAAAGTACTGCTGAGATTTGTAGTCCTCTATAGAGGGTGCCATTCTGCATTGCTGCAATGCAGAATGGGACCTGCTATATAGAACTACAAATACCAGCTGTACTTTATACAGCAATGCCATCAATTGGGCTACAAAAAATAATGATTTTATTTATTAACTTACCTTCACCTCCTCTGGCTGTTTCCTGGTGGGGGAGGCTGCAGAAAACCACCCCTGTGTGTGTGTTCACCTCAGCGCGCCTGTGTACTCAGCTCAGGCGGCTGTTTGCTGGGTCCTCAGGGCCGGGGGCCAGGGCTGCCCTCTGCAGTGCCTGCAGGCTATTTTTTATTCTCGGCTCCCTCCACAGTTTTCGGCGGCCGGCGGGCCCCCTCATCTCTGCGCCAGGAGTGTCGGGTCTTTCCGACACTCCCGGCGCAGAGACGAGGGGGCCGGTCGGCCGGCAAAAACTGAGGAGGGAGCCGAGAATATTAAAAAAAGCCTGCAGGCACTGCAGAGGGTAACCCTGGGCCTCGGCATGAGGACCCAACAAACAGCTGCCTGAGTACACGGGCACGCTGAGATGGACACACACACAGGGGAGGTGCTGAGATGGACACACACAGGGGGCCCGTCAACCGCCGGACACCAATGTGATCAATGGACACTCCCGGAGCAGAGAAGGGGGGGCCTGCTGCATACCAATGGTAACCAGCGGCCGGACACCAACGAACCCCCCATCTCTGCCCCAGGGCTGTGTTTGAATGGATACTGGGCCCCCCCTGTAAGCTCAGGCCCCGGTGCGGCGGCACCGACCGCACCGACGGTCTTAGATTCTATCCTGGTCAAGATTAAAGTGACACTAAACTCAGGAGTTAAAGCCTAAAAATACATTCAAGTGCCTTAACCGTTAGCAAAAATGGATCTTTTTTGCGTATTACTCAGCTATAGATCCTCAAATAACCTCTGAATTCATGCTGACACTGTCCTTCCTTCTGGAGGGTGGCTACTTTTGTTCCCCATGGTCCCTGTGTGTGTTAAAAAGTAGCCTCCGCTCCAAGCTTGCTTGCTGCCGCTGCCGGTCCCGAGATCTGCTGTGCCCATGCGGCTGGGACCGGCACGGCAATGCTGTCACTGGAGATCAAAGGGAGCTCGGTACACGATCACCCTTTGATCTCCTCTGCTGTCCCCGAATGCAGGAAGTGCATTACATCACTTCCGCATTCCTCTGTCACTCTCCGGTACAGAACACCGGAAAGAAGCTGATGGAGCTGATCTCTGCTTCATCAGCTTCTCTGGGGGTACCTAGGTGACATCAAACAAAAAGTTTTAAAAAAATGAAATAAAAAAATGTAAAATAACACAAATTTTTTTTTTAAGTCCCCCGCCCCCCCCACATACACACGCAAACATGCGTCAGATGCGCCAACATGCGAAAACGCCTATTGTGCTGCACATGTTACATATCGCCGCAAACGTCGGAATGAGAGCAATAATTCTAGTGCCATTCACTGATAACACTAAACTGATGAACAGTAAAAGCTTTTAAACCTATGGCCAATTTTGGATGTGGTCATTTTCTGCGATTTCGCGTGCTATTTTAAAGCTTGATATGTTTGGTGTATTTACCCGACGTGACCCCGTCTTAATGGGGTGATAATAAATGTTTCATAACATTTCATAGGGAAACAGTTTTTTTAACATAATGTACGCTAATTTTTTTGCTATATAGTAAAAATGTAAAACCCCAGTGGTGTTTAATACCACCAAAAGAAAGCTCTATCTGTCCCCAATAAATTGTATAAAATGTGTTTCAGTACAGCGTTTCATGACAGAATAAACGTCAGTCAAAGTACAGCAGCGCTGAACACTGAAAAATGGCCTGGCCAGGAAGGGGGTGAACAGGGGCGGACTGACCCACCAGCACGGGGCCTGTGGCCAGGCATCTGTCCTGTACCAGGCGGGCCCCATCAAGTGAGCAGGCGAGCGAGCGGGGACCGAACCCAGCACAGGCTAGGAGAGTCTGCGTCCACAGACACATCCTGCCAGCGCCGAAACTAGGGGGGGCATATAATATTAATGAGCCGGGGTGGACGATACCCCTCTCCCTCCCTGCACTGACCGCTCTGCAGACACTGCCAGGGCACTTGAGGGTGTCGGGGAAGGGGGGCCTAGACGGTCGGGCAGAGAATTACATGGGAGTGAGAAGATACGACCGGAGGACAGAGGAGGCAAGCTGTCAGCAGGTATGAGGAGCTCTCCTGCACTCACAGCTGCTCCTATAATATACATTCCGGCCGAGAGCAACGTGGGGGGTGGGGGATTCTTCTCCATGTCTCAGGCTTCTCCTCTCTTCCTCCCCTGGCTGCTTGAACTATGAACAGGCTGAATAGTGATGCTGTGTTTGTGTCTTGCATTGCATGTGTATTATGTGTCCTGTATTGCATGTGTATTATGTGTCCTGTATTGCATGTGTATTATGTGTCCTGCATTGCATGTGTATTATGTGTCCTGCATTGCATGTGTATTATGTGTCCTGTATTGCATGTGTATTATGTGTCCTGCATTGCATGTGTATTATGTGTCCTGCATTGCATGTGTATTATGTGTCCTGCATTGCATGTGTATTATGTGTCCTGCATTGCATGTGTATTATGTGTCCTACATTGCATGTGTATTGTGTGTGTCCTGTATTGCGTGTGTCCTGTATTGCGTGTGTCCTGTATTGCATGTGTCCTGTATTGTGTCCCCTGTATTGTGTGTACTGTATTGTGTACTGTATTGTGTGTGTATTGCGTGTGTCCTGTGTTGCGTGTACTGTATTGTGTGTGTACTATGTGTATGTGTATTGTGTGTATTATGTGTTGTGTGTGTGTGTATTAGGCCTCATTCACACTGGGCGCACACGTCCATGGGGTGTGCACACCTGTAAACAGTTGATCCCGGGAGGGAGAGGTGCTGTGTGTGATTACGCGCAGCAGCTTGTTCTCCTCTATCGGAGGACACGGGTGTACACTGTCATCCGTGTCTGATGGATCCTGTCTGCGCACAAGTGCGGACCCCCGTACCCACATAGATTTGAAGTCCAGGTGTCCGTATGACATCGTACAGCCGTTTCCTCCCATAGGGAACAACAGGCTGCTGAGCGCAACCAGCCCAGTGTAAGTGAGGCCTTATGTGTTGTGTGTGTACTTTGTGTGTTTTGTGTGTGTGGTCTGCCGTGCGTTGGTTTGTACAGCTATCATTTCTAAACTGTAGAGGATCTTCAGGGGTGGGCAAACTCTGGCTCCGTAACTGTGGTGGAGCTCCAAGACCCATGATGCATTGCAAGACTTTTGCATATGCATGGTTCCCACGGTAAGATGCATGGTGGGATTAGTAGTTTTACCACAGCTAGGGGAATTAAATTTACCCACCCCTTGTAATAATGCATTGGGTGGATTTGATATGTGCAAAGCCCAAGGGGGCCCCATAATCTCTTATCGCCCGGTGGCCTCATATGTTGTCAGTCCGCCCCTGGGGGTGAAACACCATGGTCTTTAGGTGGTTAATATAGCATGATACAGTATTGTAATGAGTTATAAAGAACAAACATTTGATAGAGCTTCCAGAAATAGCCAGCAGAGGGAACTGTTAACCAAACATTGACACTGATATATCCTGTAACAATGTTAGCCTATTGCTTAGCAGAATAAATATCAGGAAACCTAAAGGATACGTTGAGGAAAATCACTTTTCTTTGTACATAATGTCTCTACCTTATACCGGTAAGAAACATCAGCCATATTCCAAGTGCGTTATAGACATTGATTTCTGTTGAGTGAGTTTATAGGACATATGTACATTATTTAGGTGAAAAGGTTACTTGATCCTATGTAAATAAAGTGTCTTAATAAATGAAACCTGTAAACATATAAATCTTTCATACCCGTTTAAAGGCAATACGATTGTTGCAGTCCTTTGTTTCTTCAGGGCAGCAAGAACTTGGAACTGAATCTCCCCAGTCCTTCGAGCTGTTGATGCCACAGCATTTCATCTAAATCAAAATAATTTTTTGTAATGTTATTTCACACTAATAATGTTCACCTTTTTATGACCATCTGTGGCTAATTTATTAAATTGTCTATAATAAAAAAAAACTTGCATGCTTCACGCATCAATGACGAATCAGAACAAATATGCAGTGAATATTGACAGTTGTAGAATTAAATCATGATTAGTCCTGTCCTGCACACAAATAATTGAATAAAGGGGCTTATTTCTTTCTTACATGTGACCAACTACTCTACAATTCTGTACTGCAGCTTTACACAGCTATGTGACCCAACATATTACTACTGCAATTTGCCATTTATAACAGCCACAGTTAAACAAACAATAACTATACTGTATAGTTTTATGATTAATGTACGATTTTGTTTTCATTTGAATGATTATCTCATCCACAGAACAAAGTCAATGGATAATAGTTTAGCAAATGTAGGGCTGCACCACTATACAGGCATATTTTAAATCTTCTCTGTCTTGCTTTTAAAGTAAATCTAAAGCCAAAACCTTTTTTATAGTTTTGGATAGAGTAAGGGAGGCTTCAGCAGGGTGGCTGAATTTGTTCCCCATGGTCCCTGTGTGTGTGTTGTAATGTAGCCACCACTCCAAGCCATCAGCATGTACGCCATCAACAAGTTACACATGCTAAGTGACATTAAACTCAAGAGTTAAATCTTAAAAATGCATTCAACTACCTTAACAATTAACACAATATAGTTTATTTGTTCATCACTCGGCTGTAGATCTTTAAACCATCTCTGAATTTATGCTGACTCTGTCCTTCCTTCTGGACAGTGGCTACTTTTGTTCCCCATGGTCCCTGTGTGTGTTGTAAAGTAGTCACCACTCCAAGCTCGCTCTCTTGATTTGTATTGAGATTTTAGTCCATCACGGGAGCGAGCTTGGAGTGGTGGTTACTTTTCAACACACACAGAGACCATGGGGAAGAAAAGTAGCCACCCTCCAGAAGAAATCACAGTGTCAGCAAAATTCAGAGATGATTTGAGGATCTACATCCAAGTGATACACAAATAAGAAATTTTTTTGTTAATAGTTAAGGTACTTCAATGTATTTTTAAGATTTAACTCCTGAGTTTAGTGTCACGGTAAGATGTGCTGGGATTTCTATGCTCAATCAAATTGTCCAGATGCAAATAAGATCACTAGTACTGGCAAGGCAGCTCCCAAACAAGACAGGCCTCCCTTGTAGGGTAACCAGAAGTGACTCAATGTGCAGAAATAAAGGGTGCCAAACCAAAAGGTGAGAGTCCAAACGTGCCCAACATGCTACTGCTACCAAGCCCAGCTCTAAAGGAGATCCTTTTATTAAATCACATAGAGATACATTTGGTTATAGTATCTTTTGAGTCCAATCAAATCCTTATTCCATCCTAAGACCTGATGAAGTAGGAGTGTCAGAGACCCTCTGTTAGTGCGCATGCCCGAAGTTCCGTTTTCCACACCATTGGAAAACGGGCACTTGCGCGCGCGCGCCATGGGACAGCCGCGCACAGGAAGTGACACAATGGGCTAATGGACCACACTATTTAAACCCACTCTGCCTGTCTCTAAATTGCTGGATTGTGGTTCAGCTCCCCTTTGTTCCTGTTATTCCTTGCCTCGTATTGCCAGACTTCTGACTTGGATGTGTTCTTGACCATTCTTGTTTGCTGACTGCCCCTGACCTTGGATTGTTACTGGACTTTACCTCTGCCTCATCCCTTTGTGCCTTGCCTGCCCAATTGATGTGACCTTGGCTCGTTTGACCTGGATTACGGATCTTGCCCTGCTCTGCAACACCACCTGGACTCCAGCTTGCACGGTGTTACCACCACTGGTACCCGTGTCACTTGCTGTCTGCTTGGACTCTGTCCCCAACTCCAGAGTCCTTGGGACATGAGGTGCAAGGGAGGCCTCCTCACACATTCAGACTCCAACCAGGTACGTGACAAGGAGTGGTGTTGCTTCTAAAATGGCTGTTTTTTGTTTGATCGAATTGATCGAATTGGACCCTTTAACCTTTTGGTTTGGCGCCCTTTTTTCCTGAACACTGAGTACTTCCAGACAATCAGGGCTATGTTGCCTTGCACGCTGCACATGTAATTATGCTTTACAACAGGGGAGTGCACTCCATTAATGATTAATTATACATTTGTGCTATCTGGACTAACGCAAATCCACATCAATGTGTAGGTTGAGGTCCAACCAGAGTACTTTGCTCAGTGGTAGTATAAGAGGTCAAGGGGACTAGAGAGATTGTACAGAATTAGAACTCCTTTGACATGTAGAACAGTTCTCATAAGAATTTTAAATATGTGCATAACTTTTTGTCTGATGTTCAGCTTTAAAATATTTTTTTTCTGGTTATGGGAAAACAGCTGCAAATTAGTCTTTACTGTATCAGGACTTTATCATCTGTGCTCATAATAATGGAAGCTTAGACTCTTAAGAATGACACACTTACAGAACTTTGTATGTTGTCCCAAATAGTCTCATTTAAGTTCTTTTCTTTGTGCTTCTCCAGACTAATTTTCAGCTCATTTGTGATATATGGGCCAATCTAAAACAAAAATAAATAGTGAACAGCAATGTTGGTATAAATTAATTCAACTATCTGGGTACAATGTCAAACGTTTTGCAGTTTATAGTTTACAGGAAGACAAATACTTGCCATTATTAATAGTATAGGGGTCATTGCACACAACAGCAAATGCATGTACTACTTTTTATCACCACAAAGATTTGTGCCACCAGCGTATGATACCACATGCTGGTTGCTCAGTTTGATAGTGTGAGTTTCCACAATGCCATGGTGGTCCTTGAATGGCTTTTATACTACAAACAGAAAATCTTATCCAGAAGCGCCAGAGGCAGTCATTCCTCATCCCTCACAAGGAAGAAGTACTAAGAAATATGTGCAGGATGCAGCCCCAATACAGTCAGGGAGACTGAGACATCTACAAGAAAACACAAAGAGAGGGGCGCCTTTCCTAGTGCAGATAGGTTTATTCAACAATAATAAAAAACAAGCTGGCAGGTACTCACAAAGGTAGAATAACAACAAGCTGTAGGACAGTAAGAAAACCTGAGCAATGGAGGGATCCGTGTGATACGTCCTGTGTACAGATCAGTGAAGTGTCGACGCGTTTCCGGGGCATGCTCCCTTCATCAGAACGTGATTCAAGTCTGCTCCCCACATTAACCGCCTGGACGAGCAGATTGTGTCAGGAGAATCCCCGTAATTCCCGATGCCTCCGCTCCCAGCCTCATTTCCCCAAGCGGCTATTAGATGCATTACCTGCATACTCTGAATAATACTGAGCTGATTCACATATTTATTATTGGTTGCATTACCTGCACACTCTGAATGATACTGAGCTGATTCACATATTTGCTAATAGATGCATTACCTGCATACTCTGAATAATACTGAGCTGATTCACATATTTGCTATTAGATGCATTACCTGATTACTCTGAATAATACTGAGCTGATTCACATATTTGATAATAGATGCATTACCTGCATACTATGAATAATACTGAGCTGATTCACATATTTGCTATTAGATGCATTACCTGCATACTCTGAATAATACTGAGCTGATTCGCATATTTGCTAATAGATGCATTACCTGCATACTCTGAATAATACTGAGCTGATTCGCATATTTGCTAATAGATGCATTACCTGCATACTCTGAATAATACTGAGCTGATTCACATATTTGCTATTGATTGCATTACCTGGATAATCTGGATACCCTGATTAAGATTGAGCTGATATAGATACTGCTAACTATCTGCATACCTGCATATTCTGAATAATAGTGAACTGACTCATATAACTACAGTTGATTGCATTGCCTGCATAACCTTGATACTTTGACTAAGACTGTGCTAAATCTTATATTGCCTCTGAAGTGCATTTCTACATTAACCCCTCATATTCAGTGGAGCTGTGCGAGTTCTTACATTGCTAGTGGGCTGCATTACCTGAAGCCACCTCTGTATTCCTAACCAGAGAGTATAGTAATCTTACTTATCAGAGATCTCGTGATAAGCATTATCCACTAGACTTACAGCACCAAAACCCAAATTGACGTGAAATGATGTGATTGACTCCAACCTCCATTGAACAATATTTGGAGAGATAACCAGGAGTCATATACTGAGTCCCGTCATCCACATCCAACTCTGTAGTTGAGTATCCCACTCACACCAATAGGATTTTTACATCCGGTTTTCTTACTGTCCTACAGCTTGTTGTTATTCTACCTTTGTGAGTACCTGCCAGCTTGTTTTTTATTATTGTTGAATAAACCTATCTGCACTAGGAAAGGCGCCCCTCTCTTTGTGTTTTCTTGTCTTTTATACTACAGTGTATAATAGTATGACCTTAGGGCCCTATTTACAATGGAGAGTGGATATCTGCCAGACACTTAAATGTCATTCATATAATGCAGGTCACGGTGTGAAACTTGGAAGTATATCTAAAGCCAAATACTTTTTTATTTTATTTTGGATAGAGTAGGGAGAGTTTAAAATAGCAGTTTTTGGACAGGTGTGCCTCATTTGGGATATTTCCCTTCACTTCCTGCCCTGTAGAGTCAACATGAAGTGAGAAGATATATTTATAATGTGAAGGATATCTTCTCTTAAACAGTTGTCATGAGACCAAGGGGTCTATTCACGAAGCTGCCGAGGGCAGCCGAGTGAATGACCGATCTGAAGTGAAGTGAGCCGAACACTGTTCGGCTTTTCACTTCAGGCTGGTACGGCTAATTTCAGCCGTACATCGGCTGAAATCAGCCGTACATCGGCTTGCTTCGTGTGGCTTCGGGTCGGCCAAACATGCTCAGCATGTTCGGCCGACCCGAATTGCAGAAGGAGTTCGACTCAGCCGATCCAACATCTGGATCGGCTGAGCCGAACCCCCGGCAGGCTTCTCACTGCTGTTCGGGCTATTCTTAAAGATCCCGAACAGCAGTGAGTGAATAGCCGAATGCCGCCGAGC